TTTCACGCTGCTCTACTTTTCTCAAAAACCCAGTCTGACATGTGGACGATGTAGGAAACACAAAGCAGAAGGATTTCCACACCTGCTGCTACATCTAAACCTAAGTGACTTTTCCCCCTTTCCTTCCCTCTCGTCATTTCTCACACACTCCATGCCGTCATGCTCCTTCACACTCCCTCTCTCATCTCACTTACGCAGGGACACAGACGCTCCAACAGAGCGCCGTCTCTCCTTGGCAGAGGGCCTGTTGAAGAATGCGTGGCGCTACAATCCTGAAGGAACACACGCCATCGGCGCAGGCTCAACACGCTGCCTCCTGGAGGCCTGCATGCTGACACAAGTGATGAATGACGCTCAGCGAGGAAATCAGAAACGCCATTAAGTCATAAACAGTGAAGTCACTCTTTATATCTTTTAAAAAGGCACACACAGTGAAGTCTGTGCGTGTAAAATAAACAAACGGTCAAGTGATGGGATTTAGCCTCAACTGAAATCATCTAAAAGGAGAAAATGGTTTAGAAAAATAAATTAATTAAACCTGTCATTTCAACTCGTTTCCATTCTTCATGTAGTGTTTGTCAGATAAGTTCGGTCCGGATGTTTTAACTGAATTCCAAAGGTGGAAGTTTGTAACACATATCAGCTTAAGCCACTTGTTGCTGCTGTTGTTCATGAACAAGTCTTTTAAAAAAAGAAAAGAAAAATCTGGAAACTAACAAACAGCAAACATGCAGCGCATAGCAACAGGTGGGGGTGGAGCCTCTTTCACTAATATATAAAATAGTCATGCTGCTTGTTTATTCAATGGTCAGATTACTAGAAAAATTACATTTTTACGCTGAGCATAAGTAGGCTAAATGTTAATAGAATAGCAAGAAGAGATTTTGAAACAACTAAAGGGAATAATTTTAACATAATCCTGTCATTTAATATGAATAGGTGAATATGCTAATTAAAATTGTCCATAGTGGCCTCCTATAGAAGAAATACAAAATCAGAATCAGAAAAACTTTAATAATCCCAGAGGGAAATTACTTTTTGTTACACGCTCCAGTCACAGTTTAATATATATATATATATATATATATATATACACAACCAACCACACAAGATAATAAAGATAAAAATATAAACACATATAACTCTTCTGTATATATGTATTTATATATGTAAAGTGATAGTGACGTGCAAAAATAGTGCATAAATGTCAATTACAGAGGGGGGGGGGGGTCTGAATCACTTGAGGGAGGCGTTATAGAGATTGATTGAAATTGGGACATTCCTTGTGTTAGGTATCTGTTTCATGGTCATATTAAGACTAATATATATCTTTTCATGCTAAACTGGTAGATTTTGCTGTATTTAAAGTAAAAGTCTGGTCAGCAAGGAATGATTAATTGATCATTATCTATACCTAAAACTAATATGTTTGCGGTGATTTAATGAATTAAGTGTTAATCAGTAATATAATAAAAACAATAATTTTTGCCGTGATCACCAGCCATTTTTCCCCATATTTAGCAACACCTTACTCCTGACATCTTCTGACAGTGATGTCATGGTGCGGTAAACCTAGCACCATTCTCCCCGCTTTACAAGCAAAATCACTGGGAGCTACTAGACACATCTGCAATCAACAACAATTATTGAAGATTTCCAGAAGACCTCCCCATTGAAATTCACAAGCAGAATTTTTTCAAGATGATTGGATAATAGCGCTTTGTTACAAACACCAGATACCGCACTGGGACTTGCTCAACAGCCGATACCGCACCGTGACGTCAAAAACCGGTAGGTAGCAGTTGTGTTCTTTGATAAACATTGATTTCTCCAATAAATCACAGTCAAATGAAATTACTCTTAATTGAAAACACTTATCATTTATTGATCAGAATGTAATAATTTCATATTTAAAGAATTTACAGAAGTTTGAATTCTGAATATGACCGGACTTCTCCTTTAAACAAGAGATTTTAACTCAACTAAAGATAACCAAACTAATTTAATGTCATCCTGTTACTTTCAACAAACAGGGATTTAGTCAACTTGATATTTGTTCTGTGGCAAGTAATGGGAGTTGACTTCCTGTTATTTCCCAGGATGCTTTGAGGCATGTTTTTGTGTCCTCTGTGGCACCATGAATGAAAGGGAATTTTGTTCATGGAGTTCCCTCCTCTTGCATATTATATTTTGGTATATTCTGGTGGTCATCTGGACAGTAATAATTAATCTCAACCCAGTTTAACATTCTGAAATTTGACTCCATTAAGACTAATTAATTAAATGTTAGAGTTATGTAATATAAACTATATAACTGCTGAATTATATTAAATGTTTATATTAGCTGGTTTCACCAAACAAGGTAGTAGAAGTAAAATGTAAGTATATTAAATCCCATTGCTGAAATCGAATAATGACAGTGCAAGTCAACAGCATTAATCAAACTGAAGTTAACTGGCATAATTAACCCCTATTAGCATCTGTTAAACTTGACCTCACATCATTGAATTACATAAACCTCAGTCTGGATTGAGTGATCCTAATTGATTTGTATTTTTTATTATACCATAAGTCAATTATATAATACATATAATCAACTAATTTTAGTGGAACCAGTTGACATGATTGAGTAAACNTAATTGATTTGTATTTTTTATTATACCATAAGTCAATTATATAATACATATAATCAACTAATTTTAGTGAAACCAGTTGACATGATTGAGTAAACCCAAAATGTCAGATTGGGTCACTGAAGCTTTCTCCTGCATCTCATTAAATCTACTTTTTAAGATTTTTATGCTATTGATTTTAAATGTTTAAAAGCGAAGGACACATTGACCCCAGTAAGTAGTTAATATCAAGACAGTCAAAATGAGATGTTCTAGAGCAGAGGTCTTCAACGTTTTCCAGGGCAAGGACCCCCCTAACTGATGGCGAGAAGGAGCGGGGACGCCCTAATTATATATATATTCTATGAAATTGTGTTATATCAAACTGGTCCAATAGTCACTCTATTACAGATGGAGTAATTTAACAAAAGTAAGTTGGCCCTGGGATTATTAAAGTATTTCTGATTCTGATTCCTCATTGTTGGGACAGGTGTTGTGAATGAAACGGTATCCAGTTTAAAAAGCGCCTGTGTGTCACTGAATGTGTGCGTTGATGATTGAAAGACATCTTCTGCCTCCATTTACCGGTATCTGTTTACTACAGTGTGTTGAATTCATGTTAATGTGTATTTAAATACATTTCAATTAGTGGAAAAAATTGCAGGGGGAAATATACCGAAAAAAAAAGTCTATTTAACCAAAACTTTTGCGAGCCCCATGGAATACCTCAGTGGACCCCCTAAGGGTCGCGGACCCCATGTTGAAGACCTCCGTTCTAGAGTATTCGTTCAATCTGTTTCACTCTCAATTATAGTGAATATATATATATATATATATATATATATATATATATATATATATATATATATATATATATATATATATATATATATATATATATATATATATATATAGTAAAAGTGAGAATTCTTTTACTTTTATTTCTACGGCTTTTATTGTCATACTCTCACAAGCAAAGAGCAACGAAATTAACCCTCTGCATTTAACTCATCCCCTTGGGGAGCGGTGGTCTCCCATTGTGCGGCGCCCGGGGAGCAGTGTGGGGTTAAGGGGTCTTTGCTCAGGGACCCAGGGTGGCAGTCTGTGGGAGCAGGGCTCAAACTCAGAACCTCAGGATTCAAAGCACTATGCTTAAACCGCTAGACCACCATTCTCCCCAGCCTCTGAGCTGAACTTGCTTTGTAGGTCCTTCCAAAATAGAATCTTCACCAGCATATTGCTCTATAGAGTTTAGCTGTAGAGATAGGGTCCTAAATTTGACTTTACAGATGTTCAGCTGGGAGATGACACTATTTCTGTGACACTTTTTTAAGCAAAAGAAATTATGAAGTGCACCTTAGCATGACTCAAAGGCACAGTGGACCAACAGCAGACCTGGCTCCCCAAACAGATACTAAACACTTTACATTGGACATTACATCCTCCAGACTCGATCACCATACAAGATGAAATGTTTTGGATGTTGAAAGATGATGATGGTTGCAGTTACCTTTTTCTCTTTTCCTTCCACTCACTTTTTCATGAATATATCGTTGGATGTAGCACTCTAAGGACAGTCAATCTCAACAGCAGAGTGTTTATGGCTTACCCTCCCTTGTGGAGGGTTTCAATGACTGTTTACTGCACAACAGTCAAATCAGCAATCTTCGCCATCATTTTGTAGGCTATTACAATGCCATAACAGAAGATTTCTCTGTCACTCCTCAACTTTAAGTTGGTTTCAAATAATGCCATGAAATATGTTAAATACATTTATTTTTTGTTTATCTAAATGAATTGTTTTACTAAGGTAAATATGTTTGCATATGTTTTTCCTTCTTGGCTCTGTGAACCCGCCTCGGTCGGACACTGCGATGGATGATTAATCTTTTAATGTCTTCCATGTCTTCATACTCTGAATAATCTCAGCATTTGTCTTTAATGAAGGCATAATCATATCTAAAATGACCTCCTTTTTTCCAGTTCACTTGTTGTTTCAACTGCTTTTTTTTTTTACTTAGTTTAACTCTAAAGTTTAAAAATAAATGACATTTATTTTAATGAAAGAATATGCACACAAAGATGCATGAAAGTTGTTTTGCTGGGATAAAAAAAAAACAGAAGAAAAAATTTTGTGAGTTTTAAATCAAATCTGTGGTGTATTGAATTATTTATTAAACCTTCTTGAAGTTTATTTAAAAGTCTTTATCTTAGAGGGGAAAACATTTTGTATGCCATCATCATACGGTTTATTAATAACTTTTAAATAAATTGTTTAAAGAATCAAAACGCCAGTTGATGCAAACTGGAGCTCAGTTTCTCTCCGCTCTGCAGAAACTCAAAGCAAAACTGCACGTTGTTACTTTTTGCACCACTTTTCTTCCATACCTGGTTGGAGGTGTCGGGCGGCAGGTTTTTGATGAGGATTTTCCTCCTGTTGCTCAGCTCCCTGCGAGTTTTGGCCAGCCTCCTCTCGATCTCCTCCGGCTCTAGGTCCGGCAGGTCGCGGAGGCAGACGCAGGACTCGGAGGGCTGCGCTGCGGCCGCCGTCGCCTCCTCATCCTCCGGCTGCCTGCTTTCGGGGCTGTCCATGTCCGGGGAGAGTGCGCTGTCCCGGGTGAGAGAAGAGTGAACGATCGGCGGCTGGATGGACGAGGCTGCCGCCATCTTGGGAAGCTGAGAGAAAAGTGTTTAAAGAGAGAGAGAGGTAGAGAAATAGAGGCAGAGAGAGAAAGCTGAGGAGCAGGTGGGAGGCGTGTGCGTCCCAACAACCTCGAATAAACATATTAAAACAAAGAATATCTAATAATTTTCCACTCATATTACATATTTATTTTAAAGCAGATCCTCAATAAATCCACTTAATGCACGTTTTTTAAATTTTATTTTTCAACATAATAAATTAATAAATGTTAATATAATCTGACACGGTTGCATCGATTCATGAGCAATATTTATAAAAGAAAAAAGTTTTTCATGATTAAAAAAATAAATATAGTATATGCAAATAGCGTGCATTTCAAACCAGCTGCGCCCCCTACTGTCTGCTTGGTGTATGACGCTCTAGATAAGCGCACAAGTTTCAGTTGAGACACTTCCATGATTTCATGCAAAAACAAAAGTGGAATAAATTAAGCCACGTTTAAATTTGCCAGATGTTTTTCCTTCTTAAGAAATTGTAACTTCTACATATCAGCTGACGCTCCCTTCTAGCAGCACATTTTAAGAGGAAAAAAAGCATTCAGGGAAGACTTTCTTTTAGCCGCCACAGCTCTCCTGCTCTCCGTGTGCATTATGTGGCTATGAATGGCTGTGTGCCTTCCCTCCTGTCTACCCAAGTCATCTAGTGAATGCCAACCTAGCAGCCGACTGAGCCAGCCTGCCTGCCTGCCCACCGTGGGTGGAAAGCTGCTCCTGGCAAACACAAGGGGAGAGCAGAGCTCCCTGCGGAGACCTCACAATGCCCGCCTAGCTTCCGCAGGCAGCATGAGTTGCTGACAGGATCACACTCTAAACTTGCATTCACATGCTGCATTGTACGCATATAGGCACACAAACATGTCAACAAGCACAAATCAACCCACTTAGGAAATATTTAGACCCATAATAGTGCCGAGGCCTTTTAGAGACGTGGAATCAGGCCCCTCATTCTCTTTCTCGCCATCTGTGTGGAGTGCTTCTTGGCAGATCGAAGTCCAGACAATCACAGTTGTCAGTGGGTGAAAACGATCTCACATTGCCAAGTGGCTTAGCCACTGTAACTAAAACTCAGTGACCATACAGTGTTTGGACCGTTTGAACGCTTCAATTAGGCTTGTACTCGGTCCACTCCAATGAAGAAAGGCCAAATAAAAGGCTATGTGTTTAGCTCTGTTTCAAAAACTAGAGTTTATCATTTGTCTCCCATTTAGTGCTGTCATATTTTGTTCAGTATTAAACATGCAGGAGACACATTTTCTCAAACAATCCTAACTTCAAGACTTCTTCCTTGTGACAATGACATGTTTCAGTACTTTGTAAAACCGCCTTTCACCAAAGCTACTGTTTTTGTTTTGTTTTTTGACCCACATGCAGAATCACACTGAGAACTACCGAATTTTAAAGTTTTGTTTACAAACCAACAAGAATCTGGAAGAGGAGATCTGTAGGAAGTCAATTTTATTTCTGGTTGGTCTGAGGAAGAAGGAAAACTGATGAGGCAGGAGGTTTGTTGATGACAACTGATGACTGATTTGCTTACTTGAGAGATGAAAGGGAGGTAACATGGATCTGTAGGTATTTGATTCAGTGGACATTACAGACTTTATCCCAGAGGTTCAGGAGAATGTAAGGGAAATCTGAGAGCCTTTGTACTTGTAAGAGACGTTGTTCTGGAGAGTAGGCAGGCAGGGGAGGAAGACTGAGAACTGCTGCATACAGGTAAGACCTTTTACATGAAGATCAGAGATGAACTGAGGTTCACTGGTTGTCTGGAACAATAACAGAGTTCACATTAAAAGAGATTCAAAAGAAGGCAAATTTCAACAAGATGGATATTCTTGTTTTACAGTAGGTCTTTGGCTCTGGCAAATGAAAGAGAGGGCGTGGGCGTGGGTAGGCTGAGTGGCTGAGCGGGCAGAGATGATCCATTGCCTCTGTGTATATATGCTGGTCATCTCGATTGAGAAATATCTCAGGCATTTTTTAAGTGTCCTGTTTGGCAATGTGGCAATAAGAATAATTGTCTTGATGCCAAAAAGAGAGCCCACCAGATTTTGCTTTCACAAGTGGAGCAGGACAGCAATCGCCATAGTGTTCCACTTGATTTATGCATGTAAATATCTTTATTATAATTCATGCAGGGATTATTACAGATTTTATGGACACTGCAATGCAAGTAGAACAGGAAAGGAAAAACAGAAAAAAGGAGAAAAGATGGAAAAAAGAGGAGATAAAAATGGAGATAACGATACAACATCTTTAGTCTGCTTCATTACCTACAAAGAGATGTAAAAACAGCACAAGCAATGGATATAGTATAAGAGATAAAATAAAGTAACACCTTGATACTATCGCTGAAGTATAAGTAGTATTATTTAATCTGACATGTATACTGTGGTAGCTGAAGATCAGAATATGGGCTTTCTATATGGACGTGAATCTGGAGCCAAGCACCTGTAGTTCTTTGTGAGAGTGCACTTATGCATGTAAAGTTTATCCAAAAAAAAAATGCTCAATTGTTGTTGTGAAGAGCAGAAGACGTGCCCCTCCAGAGCACTGAGGGACCCAAAGCCCCAGACATCCAAGAGAGACCCCAAGAGCAAAGGCGCCCAGGAGGGGCCAACCCAGGAAATCCGACCCCCCATCAAGGGAGGAGGAGAGATGACCCCAGGAAATCCCCCAGCCACCGCAATGCCGGAGCCCCCGGGAGCCGCAGGGACCAGTCTGCGGGCTCCGCAGGCAGCCAGCCACCCCGAAGTGGATCCGGCCATGGACCCGAGGCCCCAGGGGCACCCCAGCCAGGCCCCGGGGGGCCAGGCCCCAATGAGCAAAGATCCTCTTTGTAACAGAAAGCTCACTCACACAAGAAACACACCAAACCTAAACAGTTACATTCTAATGTCTTAATGAGACATTTCCCCTCAGATGTATCTAGTTACATTTACTTGATCAGCTGATTTAAAGTTTGGATAAAATCGTATTCTTTTGTGTACACAAGCTTGTTGTCTGAACCTTAGATCTCTCTTAGTACATACAGTATATTACATGCTGCAATATTTACAAGGTTTTATGGTTTTATGTAGGAAAAATAGATTTAGAGAAGTGTGTCTTCTGCCTGAGTTTGTCATTTTCCAGTTAATTTTACATCTGTATTATTTATTCTTATCTTTCGAACACCAGAGTTTCATTTCAATTAGGTCTACTTATATACTGTAGCACTAATTCACAACATATGTCACCGCAAGGCTTTTTACAGAGACAGTTCTATCAGATCATACAGTCAGATTGGTTCAAAGTTTCTAGGGAGACCAGCTGACTGCATCAAGTCAATGACTTGCAGGCTCATTGCTCCTGGATGCGCAGTAGACATTCGCTTGCAATTTTTCATTGACTCTCTGCAATCCCTCACAGCGAGCATGCACAGTTAGTGCCAGTGGAGAGGAAGAACTCCCTTTTAACAGGAAGAAACCAGAACTAGGCTCAGTGTGAGCGGCTATCTGCTGAGGCCGACTGAAGTTCAAGGAGACAGAGGCAGACATAGTAAAGGTTAACATAAGCATTAGTCCATACTTTGTATTTGAGAAAAGTAACAGTAAACTAGCTCCATAGGGGGCTCTGTCTAAGAAAGAAACAGCAGACATGCTCCAAGGCAGACATTTCCAAAGGGATGAAAGAAAGCACATTTAGGCTACATTCGCAGCGCAGCCTGAATTGACCGAAATCCAATTTTTTTTGCCCACATGCTACGTGGGTCTGATCTTTTCATACAGTAGCTGTCTGAACAACTCCAGTGCTACCATCCATGTTTACTTCAGTAAACACAAAGCAATCTGGCCTGTGACGTCATTGCGCCCTATACTGCGCATGCGGGACGCTTAGGTTGTATGACAGCAATTCCCACAGGAGATCACATACAAGTCGCAGGTATTTGGAAATGTGAACAGCAACGCAAAAAAATTTGGATTTCACAAAAAAATCGGAATTGAGCATCAAGGCCAGCAGTGTAAACGTAGCCTTAGACACAATAAAAGCTGAGCCTATGGCTATGTCTTGGAGAGAGACAGGACTAATCACTAAAATTAGTTTGTAAAAAAAAACAATTTTAATTTTGGTGTATGCATAATTACATTAAAATGTTTTTGTAGCGACAGACAAGGAGCCATTCCCTTTATTTTAGCTTTTTTAAAATACATTAAAATTCTGAGTTTATACAGTCAATCTGCCATAGAATGTTTTTTTGCTTACTTTACTTTGTTTAAAAACCACAAACTTTTGAAGGATAACATCCGTGATCCTGCATTTTCATGCCTAATTTCAAGTTCTCAATTGCATTTGTATCTGGACTTTGAATAGATCATTCTACCACATGAAGGACGGGGCTCTGATCAGAACCAGTCCAGTTCCAGCTGCATGGTCCTAATAGAGCCTTTAACTGTCTCTTTGTTTTTCTACTGGAATATCATTTGTTTAGCCCCGTCCATCTTCCCATTAATTCTGACAAGCTCTATTGTAAAGGTAAAACAGACCATTTATAGGATTAAAGACACAGATAAAATGCCAGGCTTTGGGCTAGGTGTATGTAATACAGTAGGCAGTAATGCTGGACAGATTGATGCACATGAATCATTAAGCAGAGTTTTTTAGAGAAAAAAAAAGCCAACAAGGACTTGCCTGTCACTTAAACAGGCTGATTTTTTTTGGAGACGCATGAATCACTCCACTTAGTGCTAAACAACATTTCCATGAGAGAACAATTAAATTCTTCTTTCAGTCCCTTGGCAAATGCCATACCAGCGGAGTGTTACAGATAAATCATATCAGCCAGCAACCGCCCCACATGGTGTAGTTATGCAAACTACTTCCAAAGCTTTTTACCTATGTAAAAAAGTCCACCGCTGCTATAATGGAAGCTGCTTCACAAACTAAATGGATGAAGAGACGTGAGACGTTTTCTGTGTAAAACACAAGAGCCCTGCCAATGCAACGTGTCAGCCG